ACCCCCTGGCAAGCTGCTCTTGCGCAATCAGCTTGGTCCCAATTGGAAGCGTGTGCAGCTCGGCATAGCTACGCGCAGACGTGCTCTCTCCACACCCCCCCAGACGCACAATTGCGCAACGTCTTACTCTTATCACGGGGCTCGTGTCCATTACCGGGAAGGTGCCATAAACGACGCGGCCCTCGACACTCCCTCTTTCCCTGGAGACAGCCAGAAACCAGACCAGCCTGTTTACCTTTCGCTCCTCTCTTTATGGGCATTGTGGCAGTCCATCCTAAAGCTTCCCGACACAATTCAGTTGCCAGGTTACTGTGTATCCTCCGACCGAATCGACTCATAATTCCGTCCTCCGTCGCACCGCAATGAAATCTTAAGTTGGGCCCAGTTTTGTTTCAAACAAAAACGGCGGTTCTATGTTCAAATGTGCAAACTAAACCTTCCCTGTTTTTGTGTTGAAGAGCTGAGCGATAAACAGATCAAGCAAGAAGACACGAGCGAAGAGGCCGACAACGCCAGTCCGGGGTGTGAGCCCCAAACCGGAGAAGAACGGACATCTGTGGGGGAATCTATGGCACTGAGCCCAAGTCATGCGCAGGATGGCATAGCTGGACAAAATATTGCCGTGGATGCACCCAGTCGACACCCAAACGGTATTGTAGTTGGAGCCAAACAAGGCTTTTTTTTTTTAAATGGGGTGTGGAACCCTGCTTTTTTTTTTTTCGTCTTCCAAGACAACAACTCAGACTTGAAATTATTATCAGGGAAAAATATCCTCGGAATCCCCCGCAACCTGTTCCGAATGACGCCACGACAGCCGTGGGTTGTCACAGCATAGGATCACATTTCTCCTTTCCACCTGACTGCTGGTCAAACGATTTTCCATGAGAACGGTGTTGTTACAGTACCGCCACAACGACAAGAAAAAAAATGAACTTCCTGCTGCTGAGCGCAAATGCCAAAATATGCAGACAACTGCGTCGTTTTGCAATTTCGATGCATTTCAAGTGACATACATTTCTGAACCTCATACACTAACGCATCGCAGTGGTGTGCAACTGCACGACTTACTTCAAAATGCTTGCAGTATTTTGCCACCCTTGTGATGTCAAGCGCTCCCTCTTGACGTTGACGCGCAGTCCCCGCAAATGAATGCGGAGGTGTTATGTAATATTTTGAAAATGTATTGATATTTATATTCACATTTTGTCAGTAAGTGCGGTGAGGTGAATTCCTGTGTGTGCCTCCTTATTAAGGTGAGCGGCCATTCCAGTGCAACCAGTGTGGTGTCTCGTTCACTCAGAAGGGAAATCTGCTGCGGCACATTAAGTTGCACACGGGCGAAAAACCCTTCAAGTGCCCCTTCTGCAGCTACGCCTGTCGCCGCCGTGATGCGCTCACGGGTCATTTGCGCACTCATGCCGGTAAGACTCTTCCTTTGCGTCCTTTTCCCCTTTCGTCCCAGAACAACTTTTTTTTTTTTTTTTTTTAAATTCAACTTTTACATGAGTTTTTCGAAAACTCCTTTGGAGGATGTTACCACCACACCGATATATACAGAACTGTACTAAAGTCTTCGGCTAACCCAACTGAGCTTGAGGTTTGACAGAAATCGAGCAAAACCGTTTTATTTTAATGTGTTGCGATTGTTTTCCGATCATAAATTCATAAACGTTATTCCAAAAATAAAACAAGTTTAATTGGGGTCCTGGTAAGATATTGAACAGTCGTTTTCTTTCTTTCTTTTTTTTTCTTCCTTTCTTTCTTCGACACCGAATACTGCCTCACAAGTCCTGTTTGAAACCAAACGCAATAAATATAAAATAAAATAAATAAGCATGCGATGACACAGCGACAGCGGTCGCCAAGGCCGAAGGTACGCTTTGTGTTGTCAGGTATAGATGCATTTATCTTCCTGTAAAAGCTTTGTTGCTAGGAACCAAGGACGTGCTGTTCTTCGTCTTACTTGACTCCCCCGAGGGGGCGGTGGGTTCGGTTAAAAAAGGAGCGCTGGTGGAGTCTGTCAACTGTAACCCACTTTCCCATCAGACGATTTGCTCTCCCCTCATTTGCATCTTCAAAAATCAAGGTCAGACAGAGCGCTCATTTCGACGTTCGGGACTTAGTCACCACCGTTCCTTTTTTTTTTTTTTATTTATTTTTTTTTTTTTTGGCGGCTATAGAAATACTCATATCTATGCTTCGCGTTGCTCTTTTGGATTTTTTTTTCTGCCGCTAGCCGTTGTACGGCGGTCATTCAATGAAAGGATATTGAGGGTCAGATACAAATCAATAAAATCACATTGCATATTGACAGACTTTGCCTGTCAGCTTCGGTCCACGTTAAATGCTTTTTCTGATTCCAATCGACTTTGACTTTTGGATTGTTCACTGGGGGGAAAAAAAAGTGGTGACTTATTAGTTAGTACGGCAATCTTAGTTTTATCTGAATCGCGGTCACGTGATCGCCACTTTTGCGCAAAATCTATGGCTCCAATTTAGTGGGAATAGTCTGGACATGGGCACTGTCCTCAGGTTTTAGGTTTGTAGTGTGCGGAATTCGTTTGTCAGTCGAGTACATTGAAGTGAGTCTCAGAAAGCAATGCGGACTATTTGCATGAATAATTGAGAGGCCATCTGAAAGGTTAACTCGAAAGGTCTTTCCAACATCTGCACAATGTCATATGGCGGTGGGTTGCTAAATATAAAGCGGGATGTCTCTCGTGCACCCACACTTGAATAATATTGAAACTTGCTGTCATTAGCCCCCGTTTATATGAAAAAAAAAAAAAAAAGAAATACTCGATACTCAAACAATAATTTTTGTCAATTCATAAAGACCACAAAATTTCGGATTGACAAAGTTCCTGCCACTTGCACTCTTAAAAGTAATCAAAGGAACGGAATATGTTGATTCATTCATTTGCGTCATGCCATGTCCTTGTCTAAAATGCCTATAATTCTATCCCAGTGTTTTATTTGGTTAAGACCACAAGAACAAAAGCCTAAATATTGTTTCAATGCAGCATCAACAGAACTGCTTGGATATTTTACCTGGCGGTAAAGCTCCTTTCTAATACACATGTGGACTGATTTCACAATTCGACCGACACACCGCGTTTAAAAATAAAGTTTGCGTTGGCAAGAAAGAATGACATTTGCCGTCGACAGAGGCGCCGCTATGAGACGAGTGGGATGCACGATCTCTTTTTCGACCGCCGAGTGTCTGCATTCTTATTCGGTGCAGCCGTGAATGAATTAAAGGGTGCACCTCTTGTCTCGTGAATGTTCTTTCACTTTTAGTTGGCAAACCACACAAGTGCAGCTACTGTGGGCGGAGCTACAAACAGCGCAGTTCCCTTGAGGAGCACAAAGAACGCTGCCACGGTTACCTGCAGAGCATTGGTCTGGACCCAACTGTCAACACGGGACCTTATGCAGGTAATTCATATTTTGAGGAATGTAAATATGCAACATGCTCGGGGAAATGTTGCCCATCATGTTACAACAGCAACATATTGCAGCCTTTTTTTTTTAATTTTATTATTATTATTATTTTGTTTTTACTGAAGTAGTGCCTTGACTTGTGAGTTTCATATGTTACGTGACTCTGCTTGTATGACAAAACACTCCTCTCTCAAAATTTCTTTCTCCATTACAATGAAGGGAAATGCCATTCATCCCTTCCGGCGTCGCACCTCCAAGACACACTAATTAGACAAATAACACTCTGCGATATTATACTTTGTCAAAACATACAATAATAACATCATAAAATGTCAAAGATTAAGCAGTTTGCGCATCGTGATTTCATACTTCATACTGGTGTATATGCCTTGGCAACCAGAGGACAGACATACTGTACAGACAGACATACAAAATAAACTACGAAACGTTTCACAATAAAGTGATCAGTAAGGTGCGTTAGTAGTGTTTATTTTTTGCCGCAAAGAATAAAGAATATATGCCTGAGTGTTGTCCATCTACATGTGCTGCTGCACCATTTGTGTTGAAATATCACACAAGCAGCAAACCCTTTTTCCTAAAGACGTATTTTGATTCATTCATATATTAATTATACAAGTCACCATTAAGCCAATACTAAGAATTTTTTTTGGTTGTTGTTGTAATGCCCATGCGCTTGGTTCTCTTCAATGAGCCGGCGCCATCTTGGGGTATTTTTTTTCTCTCCAAAAACATTTCCAAAGTCTTGTCCTTGAATGTTGGGTGCTTGGGCTCCATGTATCGTTGCCAGACGCCAGTTTTGATGGCTTCACTGCTTTATTTGGAAGCCTGCTGCAACATATTACGCAGAGCAGGTTGCACGTACGAGTCAACTCACAATAAAAACAAACCTTACGGGTCCTAATGCATCTTAAATACAGCTTTGTTTTTCTTGAAAGTTGTCGGCTTTTCTTCTGTTTCATTATTTGATTATTTCCTCTTTTTAAATAAGCTCCACAAACACATTTGTTATTAAAAAAAAACGAAAACATTTATGTGAGCTCGTGGGCTTGCTAATCGTATCGTATGTTTTTGACGAAGGAAAAGGCGGTTGCGCCCTTTTATCAAAATATAACTTCTTTGCAACTCTGATAATCAACAAACTAGCTGATGTCTACTCACTTCGCGTGGCCAGGTACCAGTCTAGGGCCCAGTGTTTGTCTTAAATTGTTAAAACTACAGCTACATCAATGCTAATTTCGTTAGCCAATCTTTAGCATTTAACATTATGTTACATTTATCATAAACCATGTCACTTTCAAAACAATAAAATCTCTGTAATGCATTAAAACGTTTCCATTGTAATTTCTGCCTCCACGAAAAGGTAATTAGTTGTCTTGATCATTTTTTTTCCCCCAGGTGAGGTTCCGAAAGATCCAAGGCCCATGACGACGTTTGAGCGGCCGCTCGTGATTGAAAGACTAAACAGCAATGTTGGAAAAAGGAAGAGCACCACACCGCAGAAATTTGTGGGTGGGTATTTATCAACACAAGCAGCTCGTCAGCTGGTTTAAATGCTTCGTCTTATCTAGCATTGGCGGGCAGATGGACACGAGTCACGTTTGAGATCGTGATTTGAAAATACGATCAATGTAAACAATTAAATGCATATAATCAGGAAAACGGGTTCCCTGGCAAAATATATTCAAATTACAAAATCATATTCTATATTGGAAAAAAAAAACCCCACCAGAAAGACCAGCCAGAAGTGTTATTTGTTTTGGCAGATCTAAGATACACAGATTGAGGAAGTAAGAGCAGCCTCAGGACAAAGTGGCAAGGAAATGGGTTTTCATTTTGTGGTTAGGTACACCTGTAACGTTGCTACTTGCAATCTTATTTACAGCTCACCGCATCCTTGCTCTGGAAGGTTTGGTCTACATTAGTAGATGGATGGGGCTTTCCACGTTTCATACTTTCACACATTGAACATCAAGTAAAACATGTAAATGACAAACTACACGGTTGAGTTATTCTCGAAAGGAAGTGGGCTCTGACTTTTGACTTCCTTTCCTGGATTTGCGGCTCTTTAAGATATATATATATATATATATATATATATATATATATATATATATATCAGAATGTCAAATAAAACAAATGAAATGCTGGAGGGGCTTAACTTGGGCGACACAGAATTTTTTGATTAATTTTTTAAAAGTGTGGTTTCTTTAATCATGGTGAATATTATCATTCAAATCCTTATACAGTGTAAAAAGAAGTGGGCCAAGTTTGGGTCCTTTTACCACAAGCGTTAAGAATATTATTTGTTAAAACGACAATGACCAGTAACTCACCATTCTGAAGCTTTCAACAGAATGTTTGCGGAGCCACTGGGTTGAACGTGTTACAAAGTGTAATTGGCAGTTGAAAAGAGAGATACAGGGAGCCTGGAAGTGTCACAAAGATGAATTGAAGCAAACGTCCTTGGAAATGTACCGGTGAATTCATATATCGAATACCTGCAGTGAATTTTGCCATTCAGCTCCTTCTTGTCGTATCAAAAGTACGAAAGATTGAACGGTTGGACATGAGCATTCAAAAGTTTCAAGAATGTTCAATTAGATTCACCTGGTACGGTTAAAAAATATAATATATATAATTCCTTTCACTGTTGGTCGATCCTGAAATGTTTCCTGAAGGCTGAATAGCCGTCACTTTCTTGAGTAGTGTAAATTGAAAAAGTTCACTGTGTAATCTCAGGAAGTAAAAATATCAACTTAACCCTTTCATGCACCACTATTGATAACCTGATCACATGATAAGCTGTCCACTGTAGTGACCGCTGTCCCTGAAAGGGTTAAAAAAAAAAAAAATGTGATCCGGCATTCTCGTATCGGACGTCTACATTTTGTCACACAGTACGATGTAGCTGCGAATGGAGTGGAAACCAAGACCAAAAGCGTGATGTAGAACATAGCATGTCCCATTTTCTGGTTTATTAGAGACCGGTGAAACCAATGTGCAAACACAGCCTCGTGTGCCCATCACCGTAAAACCCAGACCAGGTCATCATACTGCTCTGTTTTTAAACAGGTGAAAAGATGATGCGCTACGGCTACCCTGAAATGGGATATGAGATGGGCCTCAAGTTTGAGAAGCAGCCTGAGCTCTTGTCGGCCCACATGATGGACCAATCGATGGGCAATGCCCTGACATATTTGGGATCAGAAACACTTCGGCCCATTCTGCAACATGTGCCCATGGTCAACCCACTCTACCATCACGTTCTGCCTCTCGACCAGAGAGTGGAGCGTTCAGGGAATACCGACTCACTGCCACTGCAGCCCACATTACCTTCCGACTTCCCCGGCCACAGCATCTCCAACGGGCCCGTGTCGTTGCCTCGGCATGGCCGCCCCACACACTCGGGACACGAAGAGTCGCCGAGCAACAGCGGAGGCGACTCGCCCGAATCGGCTCGCAGCAGCCCTCGAGAGCGGCACCTTAACCCCGGCGGCAATCTCCCGTCCGGTCTCAGGTCACGCTCGAGCCCCGCGGTTTATTCGGGTGATCACGTGACAGATGCGTCACCCAGAACTGGCTCAGGAGCTGCGAGCGGGCTGTTGCGAGAAGCCGGAGAGAGGCCCGCAGTCCAGGAAGGGGTGCGGGTGTTTGGACGGGAAGGTCGGGAGTTGCGGGCCTTCCAGTGCGACCATTGCCAAGTGCTCTTCCTGGACCACGTCATGTATACGATCCACATGGGTTGCCATGGATACAGGGATCCGCTGGAATGTAACATCTGTGGTCACCACAGCAAAGACCGTTATGAGTTCTCCTCGCATATCGTTCGCGGTGAACATACGTTCCAGTGAAACGACGGATATCAAATTTAAAGACAAGTATGGGGAAGATTTTCATTCTCATTTTTTTTTTTTTTGTTTTGTTTCCCAAACCTTTTATCGAGCTGCAGACCCATGTAGCGCGAGTACAAGCTTTTCAGCTACAAGCAGTGTGAATTTGAAGAGCTGAGAAACCATATGAAGGCTTCGTGGCAGTGCGCGCTGCTACAAACGAGATCAAATCGGTTATAGTGAGAGCATTTGAAAAGCGTGCTAAAACAGACCTCAAGGATTTGGAGGTTGGTCCTTCTGTTTAGGCTTCGTAACGCTCACTATTTCCAAAGTATGAAGGAGTATGCGAACCACACTGAAAGGAAAAAAATAAATAACATAAGGTTAACGCATTGTAAGAATGAAGTTGTAATTATGAAAATAAAGTAAGTGGACAATCATCTCAGTCATCAGTAGGAGCAGTCGAACGTAAGTAATTGTTCAAATGTTTTGTTTCCTGAGAAAGGACGACGCCGTCTTGAAATGCATATTTTCTTGGGATTGTTTGATCATCAGTCAGGAGAGCTTTATCGAACTAATATTGAGTGATTTTTTTCCAGGTAATGACACGGCAGCTCGAGAGAGAGACACCGTGACTTATGTGTTTACATTTGTGTGGGAATTTGGACATTGACTTGTTAATATGCAATTTGAATCAAACATTTTTTTCTAGTGATATTATGACTTAAATATTAAAGCTTTTTTTTTTTTTCATGGGGGGGGCGGTAAAATCTTGTTTTTTTTCCCCTTCCTATGTGGCCCAATTTTCCTTCGTAACAAAGAACAAAAGTCTGCTGCAAATTGTGATTTTGGTCACCTGATGCTGCTTGTTGTCCATTTGGACTTGTTTGCCGGTGGTAATATTGTTTCTCATTGTGTCCTGCATTTTTGAAGCTATATTAATTCTTGTGCCATGATCACTATTCAGCTTTGCTTTGTTACAGTATTTATTTTATAGGGTCAAATTTCCATTGATATGAAATTAATATTAAATTATTTTTTTATTACTGCTAAATTTGAGATATGAGGTTCTCCACCTGCTCTAGTTTACAAAGATGCTCAGGTAGCTTGGGGCCTTTTAAAGTGGACCAAACTTAGTTCAACATGGTTTTGTAAACTAAGAAGCGTAAAAATTTTTTTTGGGGGGGGTGCGGGGGAGGAAAAATATATGTTCAGTAATATGAAAACCTATTTGCCCTCTTCACAAGTTATTGGTATTTATATTGATGTATGAATGAGATTCAGAGAGCAGAAATTGAGCTTCAATCAATCACAGCAAATTGTCCAGGTCCTGAATGAACACAGCATCCCCAGACCATCACACTACCGTCACTATGTTTGACTGTTAGTCTGATCTTTTTCTGAAATACTTTTACACCAGATGTAACAAGACACACACCTTCAAAAAAATCAGCTTTCATCTTGTAAATACATAGGACAATGACTCACCACTTTGCAAACCCATCCAGACTGAAAAATATCAACGATTTTATGACTCATCTCTAATTTCTTTGGTTGACAGTATTTTGTTGCAGCTTTTTTTTTTTAATCTTTTGGCTGACTTCATTTTGTCAGACATGTTCTATTTCAGTCATTTCTTAATTGAACAAGTCAGGGGGTAACCAGACTAGGGTGTTGTCAGTAAAACTCAGCTTTCCAAAAAATGTGTTTATTTTATGATTTAATAAGAACGGCGATTACTCTTGCACTTAGGATCAGCTAGATTTGGATAGCTGTAGGAAATACAAAATAAGAATTTGAGAAAAGGGCAAATACTTTTTCATGGCGCTGTAAATGAAATGTGTAATCAGGGGTGGAGGCAGGGGGTCTTTATTTGCATTTTAGTGTTGAATAGTGTGAAAGACAATCAAAACGTAATCCAAAAACAATGCCTACGCAGTTATTTTTAACAACCAAAATTATTGTGACAAATGTTATTCGCCTTTGCTATGAAACTGTATACGATATTGTTGGCTGCTTTAAATTCTAATTCATGAACATTTTTTTTTCCTGTTCTGTGGATTTCTTAGAACAAAAATGATATCATCATCAGGGTTTATATAGGGGTTACCTCTCATTTTATCTGCCTTTTATTGCACATTTTCAACACTTTGCCCTCTCTTATGTAATGTGTAAGTATGACAAGTGTTATCATGCAAATATATATATATATATATATATATATATGTATATTAAAAAAAAGTAATAATAAAAAAATTGTCAAATTCAGAACAGTCACAACTGATGTGTTAAAATCGTCAGGCATGGAACACGATTGCGATACAATTAAAATAATGTGCATGTTGAGGATTAAATGTGAAATTGGTTGTGTAACGTAAGAGCAGGGTTGGCAAAAAATGCAATACTCTGTCATGACATTGCGGCAAAGCAATTCACTTCCATTTATTTTGCACGTAAATCGTCAAACTGCTCATCAAACACCAAAACCAAACCAAGAAGGATTGCTTCACGACACCCTTTTACCGATTGAGCTTTTTCGCATCCTTTTTTCATTGACTTCTCGGCTAACAACAGTTCTATTCACACGCGTTTAGAAGCTTGTTTGCTCTCAAAGATTAAAAAAAAAAAAAAAAAATTATTAAATGAATCAATGCTGTAGCTTTTCATATGAAGCTCATTTGTTCATGTTCATATTTATGTGTGCGGAGTTTACGTTTCGGTCTTTGGGTGGGTCTTAAGCCCTGTAAATAGCTGTTTGTATATTGCACCCTATTTGTATATCCTTTCAAACATAATGTTCTTTTTCAACTCTGCGTGAAGTATTTTCTATACATGATGCCTTAAACTTCAGAGGTCTGAAATTATAGATGATGTACATTAAGGCGTTAGTCAACTTTTTTTTTAGGTGTGATGTCATTGACCTGACATATGTAGACTTAGCTTGCTAAACTTTTGAGCTCATCAATTGTACTGCAAAAAAACGTTTTTTGACGATCAATTCTAGATGCTACAAAAGCGATAGGTACAAAATACAAATTCAAGTTGAAGCAAACTGCTTTGCACTGTGAACAAAAAAAAAGAAAAAGAAAAAGGAATTTTACCTCAGAGAGGCCTCACTGCAGCCTGTGAGAAGAAATGATGTGTTATGTATCGCTGACCTTGCACTTTAGCCAACGCACTTGCAACAAGGTAACGATTTATTCCAGGCCGACAGTGAAAACTGTTGATGAAACCAAAAGTCCACTTTTGGAAGGCTTATGCGGAAATGATCTGATGTCAGTTTCCTAAACTACCTGATACATCATTTCGTTGTGACAGCAAGTTTTGTAAGCAGACCAAAATTCTCAGAGGGCAACTCAGCAACTTAATTAACCTCATATTTTCTTTGAATGTAATATCTTGATCAAAAGGCAGCTTTTTCTCTCTCTCTCTCTCTCTCTCTCTCTCTCTCTCTCTCTCTCTCTCTCTCTCTCTCTCTTTTTTTTTTTCTTCTTATTCTCTGGTGCTAAGCAACCACCACCCAACTTTAATGTGCGCAAACCGTGGCACAGAAATTTGTTTACATCTCGAACCTGTGAAAATGTACTTTTCTGTTATCTAACCGGCACAAGTCAACTAAGAATAAAACGACGATTGGGAAAAAAGTCAGCTTTGTGTGAGCTGAATTTTCTGTGTGTAACCATATACCATAAATGTGCTATTTTCTGTATATACACGGACAATATGTCTACAGCTGTGTTCAAAATAAGAGCAGTTTTATTACTACTTGGCAAACAATTAGCGGAGTCTGATAAAGGTTTGCATATATGAAAATAGTTGTCGAGGTCATCTTGCCTGGTAATGCCTTGGTAGTGGGCGTTTCGACAACACATTGATGCCAAATACGCGAGTTAGCGAGCAGCGTTTTGGTTCCACACCAAAAGAAGTAATTATGTCATGCCCAGATCAATCCCCGGATCTTTATCGGAATACAAAAGTTATGGGGTCAGAGGTGGTTATACAACTGAATATGAGTTGAATAATAAATCCTTGAAAATTGGAGTTTGTAATGTAAATATATGAGTTTTTATGACAGTTTTTTTTCTTAACAGCACAACTTTCATTTTTCTTCATTTTCTGTAAAAGCTGTCCAAAAATGGATAAACGTTTCCTCATTTTCAAATATAATGTTCTGTGCCTGGGGAAGCGTGGAAATAAAAATTTTACGACTAAAGGATTTGGAGCTTCTGAAACACACTGCTATTATTTTGAACTCAACTGTCTATATATGTATGTATGTTGAATATTATTTTTGAGCATCCAACAGTAGGATTGCTTAATTGTTTTATTTTTTTGTTGGGGGGGGGGATCTGATGTAATTACATTTTAGCAATGAAATGGCACTCATGCACTCAAACAGGAGCTCAGGTATTTGCAGAGCTTGTATATTTTTTTGTCCCAATAAATTGGATTTGATTGATCAAATAATGCCCATAAATTGAGTTTCTTTTGTTATATCTTTATCGTTTCCGAAATATTGAATGGAGGATTTGGACAAAAATCATGTAAAATGAAGCCACGTTGCTGTGAAGCTTGTGTATGTTTTGAAGGAATGGGTTTTCTCTTATTGAAAAGTCAATCCCGGCTTTGCTGTTCAGTCAGAGCAAAGTCAAACTTTGTTTCAATAAAAATTTATTCAATTACTAAACTGTGTCCTACTACATTATTAGAACTTTTTCATATGAGATACATGGCACAATGTGTTTTTTTTTTAACATACAAGATAAAAGTTATGCCACTGGGTTTCACATTGCAAAATAATAACAGAAAACCTGTCAACTAAATAAAATGTCATTATTAACTCTCTCAGGGACAGCGGTCACTGCAGTGGACAGCTTATTATGTTATCAGCTTACAAGTTATCATTATTGGTGCATGAAAGGGTTAATAAGCATAACCAGAAGAAAAGCTTCAGCAAATATGACCAGCTTGAACCTTCCTGTGAATTTTAGTTCGAGACTCACATTTTGCAATACACAGTTAATTACCCTGAAATGATTTGAACAGATTCAATGATGCTCTGCAGTCAGATAGAAATTATGTCGTTTTCGCGTCCCGGCCTGTCGTATAATTTGGATAAACTACAAAAATAGAATAGGGAATCTAATTTAACGCGTTTTCTAAGGGTTTTAAGATATTATATGCATTAGAGGGGGACAAAAAGAAATGTGCGGGTGTGAAATAGAATGGCTTTCAATCATTCATCCAAAATTTGGAATGAATGAAATATTCCAGTCGGAAATATTTAATAATGACATGATACGCAACCTTGGCACAACTCGCATCACATTTCAGTTATTTTGTAAATGTCACAGTGCTTCGCCCCTTTACCACAGACGCGCACCCACACGCGCACAGCGTAAATGGAGAATACAGTCGAAGTGTGAAGGTGTGAAGTCGAAACAGACCCCCAGTGACAAATCTTTTGAAGTTCCTCGTCATCACGCTTAAGGCTTGCTTGATTTCTCACGGAGCAAGAGCTGATCTCGAGTTCACTTCAATTTGTTATGCGACGTATTTCATCTGGCCTCACTTTATGCAGTTATAATGGCGTGGAGCTCACTATTAGCCAAAGATTCCACATAGCGGAGTGGGGAGGGAATGCGGAATCAATCTCTTGAAAATGAAAGGAAAGTAAGAAAGAAAGAAGCCAAGGTCTCTTGTGGTGGGTAAGAAAATAATTGAATTTAAAAAAAAAAAGAAAAGGCTTCATTGTTTTTCATGAACTCAAGTTTGGAAAAAAAGAAACATCTACTGAATGAATATGTGGGGAAAATGTTGAAATAAAATAGCTCATCAAAAGCTGTGAGACCCTTCCAATTAATGGAAGTTGAAATCGATGCAAGATCAAACAAATGAACCCTTTTCACGTACCCTTGTAACCCGATAACATGCTTAGCTGGCCACTGTGGTAACCGCTGCCCCCGAAAGGGTTAAATACCCCGTCAAGGTTTAATTTTCCAATGTGCAGATACTGCGATTAACTCGATTAGCTTGCCTTCAAAGTAGCTCCAGCGGAGCGCAGATGACATTTTCTCCACATATTCACCTTCCGGGACAAAGTGCTTCTGCACGTAAGACTTGCTATGGAAGATAAGATCAACATATTTTCTAACCTCGGTGGATGGATCATTTTTCTTCGTGACTGTTCCGTACAGAAAAGGAATTCAGACGAGTTTTATGCACCGTGCATACTTTAAAAGACTGAATCCAAGATCGACTGTGCCGAGATGGTTGAACTTGGTGGGCCTTCACCTTAACCCCATCAAAAAAAAAATGTTTGCGGTGAACAAAAACAAGGGTTGTGAGCCCGGCGACCCTCACCTCACCTTATTTCCGAGGATGAATGGACACAAATTCTGTCCAGATTTTATTTTCTACCATTTTTTTTTTTTAATTGCCTTGCCACATGAGCCAACGCCGTACATTGTTGAGTAGCGTGAAATAAGCGCACGACGTAAACCAGTCAACCAAACACTTTGGAATAAAGTACATGTTGATTTACAAGTGGTGCGACTTGTTTTGATGGTTTTAAATTACAGAAGAAGGAACAGTTCCTGCTGCCTTTTTTTTTTTTTTTTTTTCCAGCCAAGTGAGAATTGTAAGCAAGGTTGTGTAATCGTCAGATGACAAGGCCTATTCCTGTTTTTCCTGCCAGGTCGTGGTGGATGCTAGCCCTGCCCTAAAAGCCTCACACGCACCAGTGAAGACATGCACAGTTGCACAAAACTCAAAGTCCGCTTATTATAGAAAATATTGTCCCGTAAAAATGTTCTCTCACACAACGTTTTGCTCCTGAAGTGTGTGCGGAGCGTATTTCGGAAATTCTGGTCGCGAACTTAAATGTCATTTCTTTTGGTGTGCGTCGAAACAGTGTAAAGATATAAAGATAAATGGAATTTTGTCTGACTGAAATCAGAACTGCAAATTCATAGAGAACACCAAAATCACATTTCAAACCATTACCGAAAACACTTGACGGCAGCATGGCTGACGGAGAGGAAGAACTCAAGGCACATCTCGAAGAACCCGCGCTTGGACTCGCGTTAATGAAAAAAATGTCAAGCCAACTTTCCTTTCTGCCTGCAGCTGGATGTTCTTGTTTGAGCGCCCTTGTGGAAAAACCTTTGCAAAGGCTTCTGGGTAACGCCGGGGTAGGTTTGTGGTCAGAATTCTCAAATGTGAGAGGTTGCAATGCGGGGAGGAAGGACGACTGTGGGGAACTTCCACTTTCCTTCCTCCACTTAGCCGCGGTACGTGTGGTGAACACGTGCACTGAACGGCATTTGAGAGGTACACTAAAAGCAAGTCTGATGCGCTTACCCATTAAGTGTGATTATGTCAAATGAGCACAGTGGAGAATGCCAGCTGACATTTGGGCGGCAATCATTAAAAAAAAACAAAAAAACAATCCCATCGCTACACACCCTTCCGATGCATCCATCCCGGTAAAGCACAATCAGAGTGACGCATAAGAGAGAAAAGCAACCCGAGTGTGAAACTGCCGCTTGAGAAGAACTTTCACACACACACGAGGATAAAGAACGTGACCGAAAAAGCGAGACCAGTGAGGGTTTTGAGGAACAGCAACACACACCTGCTCGCGAAGTTACTGGCAAACCTTATCCAGCAAGAGGCACGGTTTCTGTTCGCACTGTGTGTACTTTGTTTGTGTTGGTTGTGTGTGAAGAACAGCAAAACAACTGACACATAACAGGATGACCCATAAAACTTTTTTTTTTTTTTTTTGTTTTGTCAGCGGTGCCAACCTTATTACAATATATAAAGGTCATGATAAGTTGAGCGATCTCTTCAGGTGATATAACCGCATACATTTCAGGGAGGTACACAAAACAATGATAAGAAAGTGGATGTTTGATATTGTTGACCAATGTTTCCGATGTTGTAATCTCGTAAACTGCTGTCAGATGAATTGCAGTATGCAGTTTGATGAAAATTTGTGGATGATTTTGGTTGACTCTTCATACAAGGGCAAATTGGACCATTTTTGTAGAAGTCGTATTGATGGAGGATTGTGAAGTGAAGGTTTGTTGAATTTATGTTTTATCTTGTTTTCTGAAAACGTTCACATATACTTTTTAGACTTTTTAGGCAACTACGCTATCAGCAAACGACATCCAAGCGTTTAATTTTAAAACAAATCACTTTTGTTCAAGTATGATCCGATTGTGGAATTGTACCTAATGAAGCGGTGTGTGTGTGTGTGTGTGTGTGTGTGTGTATTCCTTTGGGCTGTGCCTTGTCAACATTTTCACTTTGGCCTCTCAAGTAGGCCTACACTTTTTTCGGGTGGTGGAACTTAAATGTGGAGGAATTGTGTTGAGTGATGTAAAGGGCAGGCGCACATGCTGTAAACCAAAGGAAACAAGTAAATGTCAGCCTTTCATGTTGTTCCTTTCACCCTATATGATACATGCTGCTAAATGTGGGCTGGTGCTCTGCTCTATTTGTTTTTATTAAATTCGTCATTTACATCCTACGCTTGTCTTCTACTACTACTACGACTACTACTGCTACTATTATCATGACTATATTACTGTGTACACACACACGTGTGTGTGTGTGTGTGTGTGTGTGTGTGTGTGTGTGTGTGTGTGTGTGTGTGTGTGTGTGTGTATGTGTGTGTGTGTGTGTGTGTGTGTTTGTATCTATCTATCCATCCATCCATTTTCTGATTCGCTTAATCCTCACAAGGGTCGCAGGGGGTGCTGGAGCCTATCCCAGCTATCTTCGGGCAGTAGGCGGGGGACACCCTGAACCGGTTGCCAGCCAATCGCAGGGCACACAGAGATGAGCAACCATCCGCGCTCACACTCACTCCTACGGGCAATTTAGAGTGTTCAATCAGCCTGCCATGCATGTTTTTGGAATGAGGGAGGAAACCAGAGTACCCGGAGAAAAACCACTGGACCACTGGGCCACCCCTCCAACTCCCTCTCTCTCTCTCTATATATATATATAAAATGCTCTCATCATGTTATTTGTTCATTTTGGTTCGTCCCCCTGTTGTTAGTTTGTTGTTGTGGCAACCTGGTCGCCACTGTGACGTAGACCTCTACACCGTCACGTGACCTAATCAATGAACGACTGATTCACGCTTGTGAAACCTGCGTTCACGCAAAGAGCCAGGACGTGGGTTGTCATGTTGACTCTTTTTATTAGTTATGGGTCCGGAGTCTGGACTTAAAATGAGTTTAATCGACCTGCCAGGTGAAAGTCGCGACGCTCACTGCGTGCGCCTGAAAAGTGAGTTCGAGTTTGTCCGCTAACATGAGTAAAAAGGACACTAGCGCGGTGACAGGTAGCCGCTGGGCGAGGCTCGGGTTTGATGGTGACGAGACAAATTATGAATTTTGGGAGATGAAGTTTTTTTTTTGGGCCACCTCTCTGCCTGCAGGCGGGCTAAATAAAGGACACTCTTTTGAACGAACCCGCTGCAAACGATGAGGAGGAGAAAAACGCCGAGGCCTACGAGGAGCTCATTCAATTCTTGGACGACAAGAGCCCGCGGCTGGTAAATGCGTGACGCGCCGGATGACGGACGCCGGGCGCTGAAGATTCTCCGGGGGTACTGCGCTGGGAGAGGGTCACCTGTATGAGGGCGAAAGCACCACTGGACACGGTGATGTAGCCCAATGTCAAAAGATATTTTAAATATGCACTTCATAGACGACTATCGGCAACCCAGTGCTGTTTTGTTTGTTTTTTTTTTATTTAGGAATGAGACCTTATCTCCCCCTATTCGGCACATCAAAATGGTACTGACCAACGTTATTTGACGCGTTGAGATGTATGCTCATTGATTGTTTGTGGACGGAATTGGTGCTTCTGCAACCGCACTAAATAAACTCCTTACGACATGTTAACAGATAGGCAGACGGCTAAATATTGGCAAGAAAAGTGTGTTGTGTATACCAAGACCATCACATGGGAAAGTTGGACATGTGAGAAGGACGTTTTTTTTTGCCGGATATAATAAGAATAGTCCAATCGACATCGTATACTATCCCAGCAACAGACACAAAAACATTGACTTCTTAAGTTTGTATCTAGAATGGATGAAATGCTTGACCCAGAGGATGATTTTGTAATCCCAAACAAAAGACAATCGGTGAAACCCCCCACCATTCAGGCGACATGCAAGTGAAACACAAGAAGTGTACACAGAAAAAGAGGAGTGATCGGGAAACTTCAAAAGTAAAAAAAAAAAAAAAAAAGAGGAATTGAGAATAAAGGGGACAAAGCCGCAGAATGACGCTACCCCGAGAGACAAACGAGCCAGATTATTACGGTGATTATATTTGTTTATTTGAAGAAAACATGACTATTGTTACAGACGTATGTCAAACATACCTCAAACATATGGAGAAGTAATTACTTCTGTGAATGCAAAAGAGACACGGACTGATGCTATGGAAGAGGAAATGCAGTCATTTAGAGACGTTTACTTACCTTCACCAGTTTACCTGAGGGCAGGACAAGACAAGGCAGTTGTATTTGTAATGTATTTCATATACGAGGCAAACCGATAGGCTTTACATGGTTAAAATTAATTTTAGGAAATAAATTCTTATATATTAATATTAATAGCTGCTCTCTTAATTCTTTTTCTGACATCCAGTGGCAATCACGCAAAGGAAACTGGGAATTTACCACTCGTCTTTCAATGCAAAAATATTTTCTCTATTCATACCGTTTTTCAAAACAGGAGTCATTTCAAAAAAGATCATTTCGAACACGGGTCGTGTTTTTATTTTAAATGGGTGTACTCTTCTTGTAGTCCTGCAGATGTCAGCATTGCAAAAGGGAAAAATAAACGAATTTCAGCGCGGCAATGTTTGTATGTCTTGACTCCCATCAACTCGATGGCGAGTAGCTCATCTCAGTGATTAGTGAACTGCTAATAACTCCAAATTGCTTTTCTCTATTTTGTCCTTCGATGTCAAGTCTCATGTCAATCATCGAATTGACTAAAGCGTCTCAAGAGTGGCGCCTGAAACATTGCCGGGAATCAAACGTGTGAATCTCCAGATAATGTAAATCTAAATATAACAATACACTTTTTAATAAATGTGGTTATTGTTCGATGAAAGGACAGAGAAATAAGAGAAATTAAAATGACGTGCAATAATGTTTGATTCATGTTTTGTGTGTGTGTGTGTGGGGGGGGGGCGGTCCTTTCTCATTCAAATTGAAATCGTAGAAAAGAAAAAAAAAACAAGATGAATCACTTTCACCTTCAGACTGACGAGGCTTTTCAGAAATTCCATCCCAGCCCACGGCGGGTTCTTCACTTTGCGCGCATTCATCAGCTCACTCTGGAGTGAGATGCAACTCTTTGGCAGTGGATGTTTCCCCCTTAATGGGAAACAATTACACACTTGGTGGCTTCTCCAGTGACTTCTGATGAGACTCATTCGCTGAGGAAATGGCCACGTAATCATGTGTGCGTAATGGACTAACGCTGCTCATTGCTCACTGAGCCAGGCTGCAGACGCAGTTTCAGTCCACCCCGTGTGAGTTTGATGAGAAATGGAACGCCATTCAGAAAATGTGGACTCACCTGGGTTGTGGGCAAATAGTTGTGTTGCGCTCTTCATCTCAGCAATCGAGGTTATGATCGCTGTAGGCGGGAAAAACTGGTATTGATGTGTCAGTTGATTCGAACTTCAGTCAGTGAGTTAAAGTTTTGCTTCAAAAGTCATTCTGACTTGATATTTGTACGTGATAAATCAATACAAAAATCAGCCCTCTCTTTAGCACCATCTTGTGCTTGTTATTTGATATACAAGAATATAGGCACACACCGCCGACCCCCCCCCCCCACCCCCCAAAAAAACACTCCATTATGTACAATGGCCGTTTCTGCTGTAAAGTAACAGCTCAGCACGAGGGCCAACCACAATGTGTGTGTGTGTGTGAGACAAACGATTGATATCTCATGCCATGTGGCACCTTCATTCTTGGATTGGTTGTTTTTGCTCGGGCGCGGTGGTTTTGGTTGAGTATAATCACTTGTGGCTAAAACCAAACTATGGCAGAGATTGGTGAAGACCTGTCGTGTGAGTTTACTTTCAAACATGGATTAAAAAAAAAAATTATATATATATATATATATATATATATATATATATAATATGTTTTTTTTTCCCTCCAAAGTATCCAACTTAATTATTTTTAAGAGGAATATATATATAAATGAGTATCATTCAGCTAATAGAAACAGACACTATTGTTGTGAGTCCAAAACGTTTCTTTCGGCCTGCAACACGCGACTGATAGTTCATCGCCGTGAACATTTTTCCTTCCATGTGCAAGGATAAGATTGCTTCTTACTTGCTCGCCACCAACAGAGCAAAACAATGTACAGGATGATAAAAAATGACTTCATAACCCTCACAATGTGCGTCTGGCATCATTATGAGGCACAATAGCCTCCGGAGGGCCTCGGCTTTTATTGGCGTGCCTCTTGCTGCAGCAAAGGCTCATCCATTAAACAAATCAGGAGGTTATGTATTAGATTAGCTGTACAGAAGACACCGGGGAATGTCTGAAAGAACACTTGAAGCTCTGTCTCATTGCCCCTCACAACACCAGGAATAAATTACCTTATTGACAGCATTAGGGTGATACTGTCAGAAGGTGTCTCCTCAAGCATAATATTCAATGAAAACACCACCTCCCCAAATTATGTTATGATGGTATTAAGAGTGATAAACGGCAGTCATTTGAGCCCTATCGAGAGTCAAGCTTCCCATCATAGCAAGTTGCCACTTCTCATTTTTATACAATGCCTAATAAATTTGCGGCGTCAGTGTTATTAAATGCTGAGGAATATTTATTCGAGCTTATATGGGCTAGGAAGACAATGTCACACTGAGTCAGGAAGCTGGTTGGGGGCAGCTTGGCTCGCTCACCACCCGTGGAGTCAGTCTGCTGATCAGCTGACCCTGGAGGTGAGGTCGACCGCCACCCACTGGTGAGGGGTCAATACTGCAGCGGAGGTTCAAAAATGTGCCCCTCACAGTTGAGTGCGCTATTTATACTGCAACGGGAAAGCTGGACAGAAAGCCTCTTTACTTTTTTTTTCCAAGTGAAAACTGGCTTTGCGTTTACTTTTAAAGTTAGTTATAGCTTCACTATATAGAATGTTGTGCCCTCACAGCATGTGTGTGTGTACGTGTGTGTGTGCGTGCGCGCGCATTTCGACCACTTCTCATTTGGAGCTAAACAAAAGCCTTGAAAAAAATCTCAGGAGAGGAACAACCTGCTTATAGCAAAGGAAGGATGTTTACGGAGTTGACTCGATTAGCGCTCGGGCAAATACTTTGATGTATTGGAAAAATAAAAGGAAGGTAAGCCACCTCCTTCAGGCTTATTGCTGCTAATAAAGTCTTTCGGAATAGCATAAAGATAATGATGGCCCTTAAAATAGCAACAATAAAACGTTTCAATGTAATAGCGTCACGTATGTTGCGGTAAATGCATCGAATGGCGCACACGGAAGGATGCCTGTTCGATCTTAAGGAGTGACAGCGCTTAATTACAGCTGCATTTTTTTCTTCTTTTTTTTTTTTTTTTACGTCCTCTCTCAATTTGAAGTGAGAGTTGAATTATGACAAGTACTTGCGAGTCACTTTCAAACCTAAATACATTTTTAGTTCATGCGATGACACTAAATCTGATTATCTATGCGCCTGTCAAGTTTTGTGTGTGTGTGTGTGTGTGTGTGTGTGTGTGTGTGTGTGTGTGTGTGTGTGTGTGTGTGAGCAGTGAATGCGAGGTCGCAGTCAGACTGCATGATTAATGTCCAGATGTGTGGACATATTGAGACTCAGGGTGGCATTCGTCTTTCTTTCAAAGTGCAAAAGTAAGCAGCATCTGGTCCGGAAGGTAATAACCCTGTGTCACATTGTTTCCTGGAGAAAAAGACCAGTGTCACTGATTTCAAAGTGATAAAAACAACCCATCAAGAACAGCAGCACTTTGGAAAGCTTTTTTTTTTTGTGACTTTGGTTGTTATTTACACATCGAAACTTCAGAACAAAACAGCTAACAGTAGAAATCAAAGTGTACGGACTACCCTCTGCAGCAAAACAATACTAAGGAGTGGCGAGAGAACCCTCAAATCTCTTGGGCATAACTTGACTTTAGAAATGACTTTTGGGAGTTTGTGAGAGCAGACTGAGCATTCCCAAGTGATGTGAAGCATGAAAAGAAAAATGTTCAGAAGCACTAGATTGATCCATCACGGCATACAACAACGATTCCGAGACATTGCGCAAACTGTGGCCCCCGTTGACTGGTTGTAGAAATTATATCACGACAAATGGATTAGATTTCTGCGAAAAAGCGTTGATGTTGTGATTCCTCATTGCTTTTCTGTCTCACCTTGGATGGACTTGCAGAAATAGTCCAATACTTTGAAATGGATGATGACTCGGTTTGAGCTGAGAAAAAATAGGAGCAAACACCGCCCAAATTATAGCCGCACATGTTTTTTTTTTTTTTTTTTTCTGAGTCAGAATCTGTTGAGTAATACAGCTACGGATGTGTCCAGCTATAATGAGCAAGGGAATAATAAATAAGCATAATAGCAATGATAATGCCCGTGAAATCCCAGAGATGCCGTTGCTGGGTCCAAGTCTGGAATTAATGACTGCAACCTCTGTTAATACATCAGGATGTCAGTACAATGCCCAAGTGCCACGCAAAAATTGTTAATTGAAAATCATTGCCGCAGCAGTGCATTTCTTGCTGCGTTCCATAAAACCTTGAAGTCAGAAATGTCCAACCTTGTCTGACCGAGTGCAATGATGCGTGTGTTTGTGTGCGCGCGTGTTGATACAGTATATAACTTTATCCTCTCATTAAATTTATGAAGCAAAACTTTATTCTTTTTTTTGAATCAAGCAAACAAAAACGTACCATTGTCAGAAATATTACTCACAAATTAAAGGGCTCCCAATGGGATGCTTCCAACTTCCTTACTGCAGCATATTTCCATAACCTCTGATTTAATCCTTCATCTATCTTAAATGAGCCGCGAGTTCTTTTCAACATGTGAGTGGGTAAAACAATCCTTTTTTTTTTTTTTTTTAAAGCAAATCCCCAATTAATTGGAAGATTATCGTGACCAATATTGTGTGGTGTCGGATGTACCAAGAGTCATTCTTCCTCCCTGATGTGCTTGGAAAACTGATGGGGCAGACAATAACAAATGTTAAAGCTGATTTACAATCACAAATCTATTATGTGAGTAGTCACCAGCGAGTTCGGCCGATCTGCGGCCTCTGTAATTGTGACGTGAATCACAATGATGGCCGGTTTCTAAGATAAGCCTAATTTACATGAACAATCCAGGCTCCTTCCCCAACGTTCAAAGTCAAGCTCTTCCAGCCGAAATGCACAGCATCACTTCAACATTCTTCCAACGTGACCTAGTCCCATTTAGAAAGAGCTTTGGCGCCATCGTGTGGCAGTTTGCAGCACGAAGAAAATAGCTACAAAAAAACAGGTGAGTTTTTCAGCAAATAACAGAGAGAAGAGGTAGAAGAAGAAGAAAAAAAAGCAAATCGCTGAATTTGTGAGTAGTAAGCACAGTAGGGGGCCGGAACCCTCCCTACCAAAAGTGGCCCCCGAGATGAGATTTTATGTGGCCAGTGTAAAAGCTGTGCCAAACATATCATGTGAGTGAATCACTGTGGCAACACCTGAGAGGCAAAAGCCAAAAGCTTATCCAACGCTGGTCATCTCAATTTCAGTGAACATTCACTATTCCCTGGGGAGAGGAACTGAGCCCTGCTTCAAATAGCAAAAAAAAAAACTGCAAACAATTGTCAGCCGCCTAAAATGGCTTTGAATTGCCTATTGGTGCAAGAAGATGAAAGCACGCATTTTGCTTCAGTTAAACTCCTCACCTCCTTTTAATATCAACAAGATGGCAGGAGATGGTGACAAAGCACTAGTTTTGTCTAAATGAAGCTCCTGAACTCACTTCAACATAGTTCCTTGCTACCAGGGTGAAAGATGACAATAAAGCAACGACTTTATTGCTTTGCTCTAAGGACAAAATCCTCAAATCGGAAAAGAAAGCCAGTCCCCAGCATTCTTGCATGGAGTTTGTATGTTCGTCAAGCGCTTGTGTGGGTTTGTCGCAAGATACCCACATTTCAAAAAACATGAACGCTCCATTCACTGAAGACTGTAAAATGTCCAGTGTATGAATGTGCATACAATCAAAAACCTGCCGCTTCAGCTTTATACTTAAGCTACGCCAAACTCATTTTGACATTATGCATAAAACAGCGGAAGATGGATTTTGATGGCCTGGGTGCTTCAAAGGAATAAATGCGTACAGTACACCAAATGCACGAAAGTGTTGATCAACATCAGAGTCGATCAAGCATAATGTCGCATATTTCACCGATAGATGTTCAAAGAAATGAGTGGCCATTCAAAATGAAGGAGATGAAGACAATGTCACGCCACCAAAAACAAAAGGAGGCTGATTTTTCACATTTTTGTCCCGATGGAGCTCATTAACTGGCAGTCACGTATGCGGACGACGTCATTGACCGCAGGTGAGTCTGTGTCAATTACTTCACTTGTTGCCAAAATATTGGTTGGAATTGGGATACACATGCCATGCAAACAGATCGACATATTGTCCCTGTATCTAAATGCTCAAAGACAACATTTGGTGACGCGACAGCATTCATGAACAGTAACTCGCATAAAAGTATAACCGGAGTCCTTTTTTTTTTTTGTCATCCAGAATTAATTTCGAGCATGTTGACGTGACAGGTGCAATACTAGAATTTAAAATAAAGTGACATGTCAAGTCAACCAATGACAGAGCACGCGGGTGAGTGCCCGGTGGGCCCGCTAGGTGACAGCGGGCCACCTGAGCCAATCACAGCCTGCGTGGGAGGAGTTCAAGTGCTCGGAGGTGTGTCTGGAAAAATCAAGTGTGGCGCCGCATACTGAGTACAAGTGGGGGAGAAATGGCATGAATACAGCCTTTTACTGTTTAGACAAGCTTTACTGTGCGCGCGTTGGAAACTTGTTCAGCCAGCCAGTCTCAATTTCGAGCTTGTGGACGTTGAGAGGTTGACCCGAAGCACAGTCCGACAAACTTAATCTACAAGGAGATCGTAAAAGAAACAAATCCCCCCCCTCCAAGTCCCAAAGTGAAGCTGATTTGGCTCCGAAAGGAGCAAGCCTGTTGTGTGGTTCAAATCAGGATACGCTGTTGGACATGTGAATTTAAAGGAAATAACTGGCAAGCGCAACAATGAAACAAGCGACTGTCCTGTACTGCCTCGACTTTTTCCTGACGTGCCTCTTGTTTGGGTCCAGCTGGTCACAATCAGGTAAGTGAAGCCGACGTGAGCGCGCTGCTTGTCGGGTTCGAAGTGACGCGCGGAGCACATGGGCTCCGTGGGGAGACTTTTTTTTTTTTTGCATATTTGATTTTGACATACGCGATCAAGAACTTATGCGCGTCAAAACGTGTCCTTGTGACAGACTGAAACTGAAACGTCGTTTTTACAGTTTGAACGACGCTTGCGGAAACAGTTGAATACTTAATTGACATTGTCGTCGGGGTGTTTTGGTCAACGTTTAAAAAGTTCTCACCTTGTTTCTTTTTCTTTGAAGACAAAATGTGTAATGACAGACACGTACTCTGCGTTCAACAGATCATCGTAACCCATCCAAATATGTACGTGCTACGAATCCGGCAGGGACGCGAATGTAGGGATGAACTGTTATCCAATCCATATGCAATCTGCAAATGGCTTGTTATTAAAGCGGGTTACCGTGAAATTAGACTATTTCATTTTATTGCAACTCCCCCCGGGGTCCATGCGCACCTCACTTTGACGAGCGCTGCAGCGGCGCTCCTTTACGCACCGACTCACGCACTTGTTCACTTTGTATTTTTCACGACACCCGTTTAAAAAGAAGACGGGCTGTATTTACTATATCGGATCATTTCATACAGCCGACAGTGACACGAAAACAGAATGTGGAATGTTGACGTCCTGTGAACGATACGCGGATGGAAGCTTGCTTTTACACTGCTGCACTTTAATTTCTACATGTATGCCACAAGATAAAAGAATATCTAGTCGAAATAAATCTGAGGGATATTTTTTCCAATCACGTGAGCTAGAGAGGACATATTGAATTGTTGATCTTTTTGATTGAATTGGACAGATGCACAGATCCAAGTCTGAGTCAACAAACACAGTTACAGTCAGTCAGGAATGGAATATTAAATAAAAAAAGGTATTCTACTCTGCGTGTGGCATTGACATGATGTGCTCATTTTCAAAAATCTTGGTGCTGGACGTATGCCTATGAAAAAAGTCAATCCAGCCAGACTGTCACAGTTGGTAATTATTATTATTCTTATTATTATGATTATTATCCGACAGAGCACCGTCTCAGGATGTTCCACGTCAAGTTAAAACAACTCACAACCGCGGATAGCTGTAGAAAGAATAGATTATGCAAATAGCGTAGTGTAAACACTGGTTAATTTGTGGCACGGAGAGGGTAACGAGATGCAAGTGTTGTAATGTGTGTGCGTGTGTGTACGTGTGGCATGGCTGGTTTAGTGTGATTCCAAGGAGCTCGAGGTTGCTAATGTGGAAAGCAGCGCCTGTGCATGCCCACACTTGCCCCTGCTCAATTGCTTTTTCATGAGCTTTATTTGATTCGAGCTTGTTTTATTTGAGCCGCTCAGTATGTGCAGAGTATTCTAATACGTCCACGTCTGCTGATTTATCTCCCCTTGAATTGTTGTCCCCCCGGAAAATAAATGGAACATTTTCTTTGGGCTGTGTAGTCCTTTGCTGGAAATTAAAACAGTTTGTCACCTCAGCAGCCAAACTTGTCGCTAGGATGCACGCGTGCAGGCTTGCTGAGTGGCCGCAGAGTTCCTGCACTGCACCACACTCTTCATTACAGTGCTGCTAAATACTGGAGCAGGGAACTGCAAATAGCTGCCGATTGCAAACCATATGGCCTCATTTAAGATAGCTCTCTGTTTTATGAATATTCATGTTGTCCGTATACAGGAGACAGCGGAGGCATAACATCCGTCTGCGTGTATTTTGTGTGGGCTCTTTCAATTAGCAGACTCGGTGCAATGTGGGTAAACTGTATAAGCTATACTTATCCTCCTTTCCGGCTTTTTGCAATTTCTGTAGAGCTTTGGATTTGCAGCAAAAATTAGCGTCGGGAATATATTTATGCTGCCTCTCACGAAACCATTGATTGTTGAAGTGGTAGTCGCCATCCGCTGTAGATCAGTGGCGGATGCTGATCTGTCAAGGAGGGGAAGCTCAATTTTGGCCGACATCATAAAATGTGTCCGTTTATTTATACGTGAATTCTACTCTCCGTTCCTTTTCAAGAAAATGATCTGTGACCCTGTCATACCAACAAGGCGTCTTTTCCAGGGACTTAACTAGTGTCCAGCAACTACAATAAAACCCACCAGAAATAAAAGATTAATTCGCTAGTCGTTTTCAACAAAGAGAGAGTCGCTAAGATGATGAGAAGAAGTCTCCAGGTCAACTGAGAACAGAATGAGAATTGAAAGATGCTTCCACGGATGCCTGCACCAAAAGATCGGTGATTGGCTAATTTCGCTGTCAATCAAAAAGAGATTAGCCTCGGACAGATCATCCAATCATCATGCAGGAAAGCTCGGCGTCCACACAGTTTAAAGCACACTGAAGCTGCGGGAATGGATGAGAAGAGAGTCTCGTCGTAACCAGTAATAAGAAGCTGATTCGGAACAAAAGTTGAGCGCGTTTTAGCTCATATTTAGTCGATGACACGTACACACAATTGTATGTACACACATATATTTGATCAATTATTTTTTTGACATCATACAGCCTCTGCTGTATATAAACTGAAAAAAAAAGTTGTTTTGTTGAATATACTCAATTTTATTTCATCAAGTGGTTGCGTGAAATATAATCATCTGGATCCAGATTTTTTAAAAATCAGTGGACAGTGCTGTAATGAAGTAGGTGGAGGGAAAATGGACAAGAATGTTTCTGATTTTTAGCCACAACGAGCAGATTTTTGGGAGGCGATATATGGATGTGTTTTTATACGCGAATGTGTGGTGCTGTGCTATACCATGAAACCTGAGGGCGCACTTGCACTGGGGCTACTTTCGAGTGCTTCAGGGCGATTATACTCCTCTCTACTCTGTCTCTTGCTTGGCCTGCACTCACACTGCACTGCGCTAATCCACACTTCAGCACGTGCTTATATGTGCCGTCACTTAACAATACCGTATTGCTAGACTTTCCCTTTTGTGGAGTATTCTGAGCCTAGCAGTTCACAACATTCTAATTACTGTACAACTCGTCCACACGGATAAGATCTTCGATTAGGAAAGATTTTATATCGTTTTATCCACTCGCGACTGGTATTTTCGGAGTCCTATTATGAACATAAAAAAAAAAAAAAAAAAAAAAAAAAGTCCCAGAATGAATCAAGTCAAAAACGCTGCCTTTGCATTTCTGTGTGTACAACACATCCAGGTATGTGTCATGTTTGCAGGACCGAGCGCTTCACCCTGCCAACGATAACAATAGTTGATCACCGCTCGCGGATCTTCTTTAACTTGGCAGCGATCTGAGCTTTCGTTCCGAAGCACAGGTTTTTCAGGCTATTTTTTTTTTTTTTGCTTTCCCCGCCTTAGTTGCGAGTGCATGGGTTGAACATTGAACAGGCTTCTTATTCTGTGTTTTTGGTGTCTTTCTGTGGCCGCGTTACAGTGCCCACTTCAGGCCTGGCATACACACTGCAGCCTGTCAGCGTCTGTATCTCGAGACACATTTCTTGAAAATATTCCGTTTGCAAAATATATATATTTTTTTCAGGGCAAACATGGCCCAAGAGATTGTCACATCCCATCGTGATACATTGAAACAATATTAAAAAAAAAAATCCACTAGCGCCAATTGTGTAATGACAAGAATGGATGCCAATATCCCTGAAATGAACAAAGGGGGTACAAAGTCTGGATATCTTCACGATCTCAGATTGTCTTACTGCAGCCTGTCAGCGTCTATCTACGGACACATTTCTTGAAAATATTCCGTTTGCAAAAGAATTTTTTTTTTTTCTGGGCAAACATGGCCCAAGAGATTGTCACATCCCATCGTGATACATTGAAACAATATTAAAAAAAAAAAAATCCACTAGCGCCAATTGTGTAATGACAAGAATGGATGCCAATATCCCTGAAATGAACAAAGGGGGTACAAAGTCTGGATATCTTCACGATCTCAGATTGTCTTGTTGTGCATGATTTTTGTGATTATATTTAATAATGCCTTAGCTATTCCACATAATAGCCCTCTTTACTTTATCATCTACTTCATCAGATTCCCCCCCCCTTGTATAACCGGAGGCCATTTTTTTTTTTCTCCTAGTTTTGACTTGTTGATGGGTTCATCAACATTTAGACTGTCTGCTGGCAGCAGAAGTGATTGGATCATATTTTATGTGACCTTTACAGGCTCTCTAAGATCATTTATCAGATACATTTATACAGGGGAAAACACAAGTCCATACGTTAGGCCATGCATCATCATTATTCTCGGCTGTCCTTCTGTGAAGGATTTCGGAATGGGATTGGTGCATCCCGCCTCGTTGTAAGGCGCTTTTTAAAATGATGCGTCTGAAGAATGCAAACAAGATTATGGCAGCTCATCAAACAGACAAGGTGCATTTTTTTGTTTTTCACTCCCTTGAGGTTTTTTTTTTCTTTTTCCCTTTACAAGCTGAGGCAGGATTATGTGGAATTGTCTTTGTAAAAAGAAAGAGGCACCAAAATAACTTCTGTGCTGTGCATGGCCTCTAGGTTCGGTTCACATATCGACCAAACCAACATTTTGCAGAATTGCCACGCACGTTGACACTCTGAACTCGGTTTAGTTATTTACAAGAGGCAAGACCCTGCACTAGACATTTAAACTGCTCATAGAACATTCCCAGACCACAGACCAGTATTCTCTTTCCTCAAAAATTTCATCTGGACTACATTTAATCGCTATCGTGTCAAATCCAGAAGCGGGGGGTGCGCATAAGTGGCACGCAGGTGTGCAAGTGCAAATTTTTCCTTCTTTTTGAACGAAGCATTACCCTCTGCTAACCGGGACATAATTGAGAATTCGGCAAAGTTGTTGATGGGCTCCAGCACAGGTAGCCTTTTGCTGGCCAATAGCTCCGCCTCCCTCATTCTCATCATAACGAAAGCTGTACTCGTGTTGTCAGACTCTGTGGTAGTCGTGACCAGTGGCTCATTTGCATGAAATATCCAGTCCCTTTGAAA